CAGGAATGGGGAGCGCGCAGGGGAGCGCAGAGCACTCAGCAGGAGCGGGCAGCAGCAAGCCGAGCTGTGGGGAGGCTCCTGGGGGCACCTTGGGTCTCTCCCAGCCCCTCCAAACCAGCACCGTTTCTTTCAAATGGAAACCCAGGAGTAACCAAGGCCTTTTCTGAAGTTATTTGCAATTTGTTTAGTGTTTTTTGAAACATAAGTACACGCCATTTGAATGAGAGCAGTGTCAATGTATTAGGCAGTGGCAGATGCACCTTGTGTCCCTTATTAGAAGGGATTGGATGCTGAGGTTTAGTGATGTGCAAAGGATTGGACTTTGGCGAGATTAAAATTATTTTCAGCATTAAGCACAATATTTCTAAGCTAATGCACTCAGTCTTGAATATAGATTCACAGACCAAAAAGATTATAAAACATTAAACCTATGTAAATTTATGTTTGAACAAATTCAACAAGAGATTTGACTTGGGGGCTTACAGCAAATAGGTTCTGCTTTTAATGCACAGTGCAGCCTCCAGCTGCAGCGCTGTTCTCCCCGCGGACGCCCCCGGCTGCCGGATTACGGTCACAGCTCGAGCAATTACAGCGGGACGTGTTAATAACGGCGCGGGCGGCTCCGCGAGCACCGGCGCAGGGCACCGCGCACCACCGCAGCCGCGGCCGCTCCGACGGGAACGCGAGGATGCAGCTCCTGGCGGCGCCGCGAGCGGGACTGCTGCAGAGCTGCAGCGCGGCCAGCATGCTGCCTACACAGAGATAAATGACAGCTGTGACTGAAGGAATAAACAAGATAATCTGGATTTAAATAAACCGCAAGGGGCTGTTGGCAACGTGCAACTTCACAAATTTATAAAATGTAGCCTTTGAAAATAAAGAGCTTGTCTGAAGGCAGCTGTTAAGAGCAATTAGTGTGGCAGGCTGGTCCGGCCGGCGCTCGGAGCTGCCGTCTGCCCGGAGCAGAGGGAAGGATGGAGGGATGGAGGGACGGGCAGCCGGGATGCCTTCCCCTGCGCAGGGCACAGGGAGCAAAGCGCACGGTGCTCCTTGGCTCCTGCGTCCCAGTGCCCGGGAGAATCCCGCTCCGGGAGCAGCGGCCGCGTTCCCGGTCGGTCACGCATGTTCCCTCTCTGTAGGGCTCGGTGGCTCCCGTGGGCCAGGCCGGGGCCGGGGGCGCAGGGCAGAGAAGGGGCCGGGGGTCCCGGGGAACCCGATCCGCTCCCGGTGTCCCGGCTCCCGGCCTTCGGACGTCGCTGGCAGGGGACGTCGCCGCGCAGCGTCCACCCTGCCGTGATCCGCGGGAGGCGGCTGCGGGAAGCACTTACCTCTCCATTTTCGTAGATGTAAATGCTATCTTGGCTGCAGTTTCATTTTACAATATGGTAATACGCTATCCAGGAAAGTCTTGCTACGTGCTAATTTATCCAGGAGGCAAATTCCTTTTGGCTAATAAAAGTGCTTGCACAGGAAGCTGGAAACCCAGCAGCAATTAATTATTGACAGAGCATGTGAATTAGAGATAAAAGAAAAGTCATTCTTTCTTGCACACAAGATAGTAAATAAATTTAATTATTGTACTAGAAGCAAGGGATCTTATTCTGTATTAAGTTTTATTAGCCGAGACATTTAAACGCATGTCATCATAACAAAAAGGTCTTGTGTAATCCTAACTGCACCGCTCTGCTACAAGGCTCTGGAGTGAATGGACTCAATTGAGCAGGCGGGACCGGGCGGCGCGGAGCCGTCCCGCTAACCTGTGCTGTCCCCGCAGGAGCGTCATGCCCAAGACCCTGGAGGGGCAGATCACCATGGAGAAGACCCCCAGCTACTTCGTGACCAACGAGGCGCCCAAGCGCATCCACTCCATGGCCAAGGACACCAAGCTCATCGTGGTGGTGCGGAACCCGGTGACCCGGGCCATCTCCGACTACACGCAGACGCTCTCCAAGAAGCCGGAGATCCCCACCTTCGAGGTGCTCGCCTTCAAGAACCGGACCCTGGGGCTCATCGACGCCTCCTGGAGCGCCATCCGCATCGGGATCTACGCCCTGCACCTGGAGAACTGGCTCCAGTACTTCCCCCTCTCCCAGATCCACTTTGTGAGCGGGGAGCGGCTCATCACGGACCCAGCCGGGGAGATGGCCAAGGTGCAGGACTTCCTGGGCCTCAAGAGGATTGTCACAGAGAAGCACTTTTATTTTAATAAGACCAAGGGGTTCCCCTGCCTAAAGAAGCCGGAGGACAGCAGTGCTCCCCGGTGCTTGGGCAAGTCCAAGGGCCGAACTCACCCCAAAATAGACCCCGACGTCATCCACAGACTGCGCAAGTTTTACAAACCCTTCAACGTCATGTTCTACCAAATGATCGGCCAGGATTTTCAGTGGGAGCAGGAGGAGGGCGACCAGTAGAGCCGCGGCGGCAGGGAAGGCTCTTCCCGCCGCGCTGG